CTGACTTTCCACTGCGTGTCGCACCACTTCCTCGTATCCTTCGCTCGGCTCATAATTCCTATTCCTTATTTTCCAAACTTTTTTTCGTTTTGCACACGCGTTTGATTTATTATTACGTTTCCCCCGTTTTCGTGATCGGTGGCGATCCACTGACCTTGAACGTACAATTTCGTTTCGGGCAAAACCGAGATTCGAAGGATCATCGATCGAGCTACTCGCCACTCGATCGATCCTTCCTCCTCTCGCTTTCCTCGACTTCTATAGGTATGGCCAAGAGCCACCTTTTCGAGAGCGAAGGGAGAGGGTGACCTTGAAAACAGAGCGGAGAAAGAGAAGCGGGAATTCGGGAGGGTCGCGCGAACCTTTCACCCCGAAAAGGAGCGAGAGACGGTGTCGTTTCATCCTCTTTCACCGTAGTACTCGAGGATCGATAACCTTGAGGACGAGGAAAGTAGAATACTCTCGAGGGATCCTCTCCTCGACTCCCTTGACGGATTCGTATGGGGGAGATAGATATCGTCTTTTTCCACGAATCCTACGCGACAAAGAGACGAAGTACATATACGATATTCACATCCTTGCGAGTGGCAACAGATTTCTTTCTTCTTTCTTCTCTTTCTACTTTCCCTTCCTCTCTCGGGTGAATCCAGCGTCTTCGCGATTTTCCCACATGCACACGCGGAATTCCCTCGTCCGCTCTTGGGAATAATGAAACGCGAGCGTGCACCGATTCGATGATAACGCGGTCAAATATTCCGTGGCAACTTTTCAATTTGTCCACCGGCATTTCGACAACGGCCGTTCGTTTCTCATTGCCAAATATCAAAATTTTCCCCTCGTACCATCGCACCCCGTTCGTGCCCCAATATCGATCAAATACACCACTATTATGTAATGGCGAGCAAATAGAAGTCTGGCAGGATGCCTATCGGCCGGTGGCATCGGTAAATTTCAAACGCGAGAAGGTTAACGAACAAAGAACATAAAATTTCTACACGAGAGCCACCTTTCCACCTTTCCATGTTCTTTCGAACATGGAAATTCGAATCGATCGTTCCGCTCGACGTTAGGAGGACGCGTGTGCGACGAGGGGCGAGCTCGAGCCACGAATTCGGAGGCGTACGATTTCTTCCTTCCTTCTTCCTTCGTCGCGAAATCGCGGACGAACGTTCGTCGATCCCTCGCCACGTCTCTCGCTAGCTCGCCCACATTGCTCTCGAGAGCGACACGACTGGAATCCGCATACGGATCCTCTCCCGAAATTCCGGGCGTGTCTGGCCGGATAGGTTCCCGACGTCGTCGTCCATTTCGAGAAACTGGAGTAATAGGAGTCCAGACGAAGCCACTCGCTCGGGGAATATCACCCCGACCGACCCATTCACCGATTTCTTTCTTTCCTGGATGGAATTCAAGAGATTTCGAAGCACGTGTTATTCTCCACGATTTTTGGATTTCTGATCCTTCCCTCTCTCTCTCTCTTTCTTTCTCTCAGAGAAATTCTTGCATACGAACGTTTAATCTTCGAAGGAACGATGGTCTTGAGTTTTGATAGAAAAAGTTTGTATATTTTTCTAAACGAATTTTATTTTCAATCGTTACATCCAAATTATCGATCCTCCAGATGATTAATCGAGATTCATTTTAGGGTTTTGTAAACTTTTTTCCCTCGAAAGTATTCCTGACAAATATGTTTACCATCGCGGCAGCGTTTCATGTAAAAAAGTTGTACAATGATCACGAAATACTGCGGCATTGTTCCCAAGTATCGAGCGATATCCTTCCAAACTTCTCCACCCGTCTTTCTCCGCGGTCGGCATCGAAACTCGTGCAGCAAAACTTGTCAGAAATCTGCTCGAGTGGAAGCATCGCTCGAGGCGTGAATCAGTCTTTACTCGAGGCAAACAATCGCACGAGGTTAATTACCGAGGATTAATTTCGCCTCCTCGACGATATCGGGGCAAAGAGAGACGCGATCTTGGAAAAATGGAGAAATAGTTAATCGTGTTTTCCTTTCCAACGACGATTTCTCCGTCGCGGATTTTCGCTTTCCATCGGGATCACCGTCTTTGTTTGCGAATCGGAAAAGCGTTTTCTTCGATCCTCCTGATCCTCCAACGATCGAATTCCTCGAGTCTCATCCCGGAATACAATCTGATTTAATACCTGTACAACAATAACGAAGAACCCACACTTCCCAACCATCGATTTTCCATTTCCTTCCAACTGCTGCCTCTTCTAATCCCCCTAATTAAAGTTTACGCGCCTAAAACGACCGCTATCTTTCTATAGATATTTTCTCCATACTTATATGCCTCGATATCCTCGATATCCTCGAATTTCGCGCCGATTTCTTCGCGCCGAAGAAGCAAAGATACGAAACGAGTCGTCCTCGTTCCAAGCACTAAGAACGAAAAAGGAAACTGGAATATCGATAAGCATATATTCGTAGTAAAGTTTTCATCCCACTAGTTATCAAAATTAAATTCATTATCATCGCGTTTTTAGGCGTAACGATCCTGTCGACGAATCGTTGCAACATTAGCAGATGAGAGATGCAGAGATACTTGGCGCCAACGTGGAGTTTCAACGATACCTTTTACGACGAGTTGGATCGAACGTTCGTTCTTTCTTTCTCGACAGAGGGCCGGGTTTCAGGTCTGGCTCGTCCGACTTTGACGAGACACATAGCTGCGTACTTTCCATTTAAAGCCACTGAAATCGATCCCCTTTCATAAACCTGGATGGGAAATTCTCTTTTCTCCGGGACGACAAATACGACGCGCGACGAGAACTTTTATCGATACGGCCAGCCTCCGGTTAGCAACAATGGCAGGGACGGGGGAATATAGGCTAAATCGAAATCCACGATTCTTTCTGTCCCAACGTCGCCTCGCACGCACGACTTGGCCCTCCATTATTTCCACAGGCCTATTGGCCCGATTCGAATCCGATTTATCGTCGAGGGCGCTCCGATTACACCGAAGAAATGCGCCCTCGGAATGGACGCGGCTCTTGGACACCGGCCAGAATGATATTTCGAAGATGAGCCGCGTTTTTCTCCCCCTCGTCGCGCCTATGGTGGGGAAAAAGAAGAAAAAAAAAGAGAAAATTGAAACCGCCCGATACGTGACGGGTCCGCCAGCAGGTTTAGGTAAAATAAACGGGAGATTTCCTGAGTTCCACACAATTCCCACACCGGCTGGGATTTCACCGAAAAGAAAAGACGCGAGAAGAGAAAACGTCGTTAGTGACTCGGCGTTTCGTCCAGGATGAACGATCGCCTTTTTCTCCGTGAAGAGTCGTAAGATGACTATTACTATCAAAAGAAATACGTAGATACGATTCGTGAATACTTTTCACGAGTTTGAAAAGAAAGGAAAAAGGAAATGAAGCAAAAATACAAAAAAGATCGATCCTTCCTTGATAAGAGAATAACCAATAATAAAATATATTCGTAACATTTAATTAAATATAATCGAACAATGGAAAATGGGCAACGAAAAGCCACCTTTTCAAGGAGGGAAAAAAATTCGTCTGTATCTAATTTAAAAAAGATTTTTGAACGTGGTATCCGCGCGACAGCAGGGACGTTTTGCAAATCCGTGAAGCGCACTGATGAAATTGACGGAGCTACGTATCCCGTTCGCCATAGAAATACGCACCAATGCATCCTATGAACACGATAAACGAATTTTAGGTAAAAGCACCGTTCGATTCGCTATCGGATCCGTCTCCAAGTCGAAGGCTTGCGATCTCTCTCTCCCCCTCTCCATCTCTCTCCATATTCCGCGATATTGCCGGGGTCAAAATCTTTCCAAGAAGAGGGAATCGTGCACGAGCAGGAAAAGATCATCGATTATCGATCCTCCTCTATATACGCGAAAAGAGAACTTTTCATTCGTACAGAAGGGAGAGTTAGAACGGTTCCAGGTCAAAATTACTGGACTCTCGCTTCGTAATTTATTCCTTTCCCCGAACTCCTCTCTCCCTCCACACATCCGTCCACTAACCCTCGAGGGGTTCTCGAAATTTAGATTTAAAGCGGTTCCGATGAAAAATCCAAGGATTCGAACCGTGCCTCGTTATTTAGCCTATAAAATGTTTCCCTCCGTTTTGGGAAGGAAACGTGCGATTTTCGCGTCCCTCTCCTCCTCCTCCTCCTTAAGATCGTCCCTCCTCCTCTTTAAAACCCCTCTTTTTTTTCCTTTCCCAGAGCGAGCAGATAGATCGGTTGTGATCTATCGTTTCGTTTCGATCGAAGGAGAAGAGGGTGGTGGAAAAAAATGGTTTCGCAAAATGGCCGAGGGCGGAAGAGAGAGAAGAGAAAGAGAGAGAAAGAAGAGGAGAGTCGTTTTCCATCGCGGTTGCTGGCATTAACGATCGTACGTATTGCTCGTTACCGCAGCCCCCGCTTTATCGTTGGCGAGATTTATGTCAAGTGTATCGAAGGACTCGGCCATTTTTATTCGATCGAGATAATGTCGACGTCGCAGCTTCTTTGTTCCCCGCGCGGACGATTCTGTGCGGACCGCGAGTTATCGAGAGTTATCGAACAGCTCGACGATCTTTCCTCCCTTCTCCCACGTTCCGATACGTAGGGGATTTCCGAGCCAAGGAGGAGAGCGATGCGCACCGATGTCACGCTTCGATATAACCGCGATAATTGCTTCTTCGTCCAAACGTCTTCCTTTTCATCATCCTCCCGCATCCTCCCTTTCTCTCCGATTTCCGCCGATTAATTAAAACCCATCCGGAATTTTCCCTCTCGGCAAACGATGATATCGCGACGAATGAATTACACGGCGTACACGGAAACGGAGTTCTCTAGGCGAATCGAGGGGGGGGGGGGGGAAAGATGAAATTAAAGGAAAGAGGAAACTCGGTTGTCGCGATTCCGCTTCCCACATTTTTATACCTTGCCAGTGGTTAATAAT